GAACCCCCCCTTGAAATGACCTGGCTACGGGCCTGATAAACACCAGTTTGTCTTGAGTAATTTTAGGTAATTTAGTTTGACACAGAAAAAATCTGGTCCACTTTTTTTAATTAGGGTGAGGTTAAGCATAGATCTAATACCTCCGCAATACAAGGAGGTTAGCCTATAATTTCATCGGATTCTGTTTGTGTGTTTACGTGTTTGTGTGTTTGTTTTCTTGTTAGCAGCCTCCTGTCTATAGTTTTAGGTTTACATGCGTCAGATTGTTTTTATTTCCGACATTGAATGGAGAATTCCTTTTTATTTTGGTGACGATCCGGAGTGGGTTGTGGATATGAGGACCATTAAAGAGAAACGTCCCAGACCAGATATCTAAAAAACTGATCAACGATGTGAATAAAACTTTTTAGAATGGTTTGTTATGGTCCAAGGAAAAATAATTAAATTTTGGTGACAATCCAGAGTTGGGTGTGGATATGGGGTTATAAGGGAATCTTTTCTCTTTAAAAACTGTCACTAACCATTTTTGTAATGCAAACTGTGGTTGACGACCGGTAAATAAAATTTAATAACGGTCACATATTTGTACTTGATATTCGATTTTAATAATTTAAAAAGGTATATGACCATATGTCCGATTACAGTATGTCAATGGACACAAGTTTTTGTTTCTATGCCCCCTCGGGGGATAGACACTGTGTTGTCGTCCGGCAGTTGAAGATGGTTGAAAGGGTAAATCCGGTGGAGGTGCATGATGGGACATGTGTCATCTTAAGTACCATATTACGGTGCCAAAGTCATAAAAAAAACCACACATTTCCTGATACACGAATCCCATGTTATGTGAATAATTTATTTTAATCAACATACAAAGGCAATAAATAGACACACCCGTTCCCCTGGGAGCCTATTTTGATGCCAGATACTATCAAACTTGTTAACCTCGTACATACAAAAATACAAGTTCTACACAGATAAAGGTAAAAATACAAGAATACATTTAAAATGGCTTGATGAATTCAATATCTTTCGTTTAATCGCAATTCGAAATGCTTAAATTCGAACGTAGAGTGCAAAGACATGTAAATATACAATAAATATGCAATATTGTGAGTGGAATGTGTGTACAACGTAATCTAGATTAATCGTTGAGTATTAGATAGGTCTACTTTTAATTAATAATCATGAATGAATAACTGATTGTATAAGCAATTAGCTATCATTTTCCGTAAGACCTATATGCCTATACCTGGAAACATACAAGATGGTTGTTGGTAGGCCTGCATACATCCGCTGAGTCATTTGAACTCAGAAAAAATTCTGATTCAGCTGGCCCACCCCCTTCCCCTTTTTTTAATTATAAAAAATGGGGGGAAAATATATTCAAATTTGAGACTGGGAGTGCCATTTCCGACCAATCTAGAGGTACCATAACCCTATTTTTTTTTACCTCAGCCGCAACCATGGTAGGACTGAGGCGGTGAACCCTCTATCTGTGAAATTTCCTCCCTGGGCCTACAATATTTCGAATTCCTGGATCCGCTACTGACAAATACCCATAGCCCTATCGCACATACTTTAAAATTATTTCAACTTCAACCACCCCATTATGGAAAGAGTCTGTCTCTTATTATACACATCTAGATGTGTATAAGAGACAGCAATTACTGTACCTCTAAGAAGCTCCTGAGTAACAATTTCAGGTATTTGAAACCCCTAAATTGTCAAAGTTTCGGGGGCTTCACCCCTAGATCACTTTCGAGGCATTTAAAGCGACGTTCGACCACGCCCACTGTCGTCGGGGAAATTTCCCCCCTCGTCGGGGACATCGCCCCCTCCCCCCGGGAGTCCACTACCTCATTTTTTGGCTGAGGTGCGAGAATTTTGAGAATATGGACCTCTGGGTGCCGAAAATTGCATTCTCATGTAACTTTAAAATCTTACCAATAATTCATAGGCCTATTTCCATAATGGTTTTGTGCTATCGCAAATACCGTGGTTATTACAATTGATGAATTTATTATTTAGATCTCTGCGATAGTGATTATTTATGGCATATGATATAAAGTAAAAAATCTTCCAGATTAAGATTGCACTTAATTTTTTCTACCAGTGTGTTTTTAATGTTTTTCCTGCCATTTACTTATACAAAATGAAGAACATACAATTTTCTTGATTTAGAATTATTACAAATTATCTGGTTTAATACTGAGACTAAGTTGATTTGTCATGATTTGACACTGTACTTTACTTCGGGTAATATATATTATATTACGGTTTGTTAATTAAAAACTATCAACTATTTTTCATTGTTTTTATGGACTAATCTCCATATTTTTAAGTTGCTTTAAGTATAACAAGTAATAAACATCGATCCTAAATGGTTATTGACTAAACAAAATACTTGCACGTGAAATCATAAATATTGATCTATACTATGTGAGCTTACTATTTCCTCTCTGTCAAGTGAGACTACTGAACCGATCAGAAAATCGGATGTGTGTAAACAAAATTCAGAGTAAGGAGACTGGGTCCGATTTAGGTTCGGATCTGATGTGATGTGTTCCATCTATGCGTTTCTTACAGGCATTACGCAAACGTAAACAACAGTGGCGAAACGACGAAACATGGGATATCCATGTCATTCTAAAGACAATGATACACTGTTGTAACAATTCAACCATTTAGAATCAACTTTTATTTTCACACATATAATTGCTTAAATGTTCTTTTGTGCATTTCATTTATTTATTCATCATCATCAACAATAAAAGTGCATCGTCATGGTGTAGGCTAGGGCTACATATTGATGGAATCCCCCTTTGAATGACTCCATCAGTTGTTTTATTAACCATCCAAACAGTAAAAATAGACCAACACTGAAGAAGCTCTTTTTGAAGGAGGACATGGACTTCCCTCCCCTGAGAGCTTACGGGCGTTTCGCCACTGGCAAACAACGCGCTACAGAAGTATATATAAAAATCAAGTGCGTGACAACGAGACACGATTACGACACGACAACGACATATCATCACGTAGTTTGTATTTTTCAACACTGCGCGCATCTGTATGGTGTCGTTGTCGTGTCGTAATCGTGTCTAGTGTAATGTGGCTTTAATCGAGTTTTTTGTAACGCGCCTAATTGCTTTAGGTGTGAACCAAACTTAAACCAAGCTTTACCCCGTATCGGACAGAGCCAAGGGGTGACCGTACCTGCCTGCAAGGTATCATTAGGCTGACGATTACACGTTAGTCCTTCGAAGTTTCATGCTTGCTCTGTAGTATCTGTGATACGTTTGATCAACTTCCCATATGATTCCTTTTGCTGTTTCCATTTCGGCATCAAACTTACCATTTAAATGGCAAGAAAAACACCAATCAAACCACCAAGCTCCACTAAACGTAACAGCACAAGTTGGCGTGATAAAACATCCATCATTGTCTCTATCTTTCGTTGAGAAGTACTTCCCGTTACTGTATCTCATAGCATCACCTTCGAATAAAGTAATTTTATATCTGATGATTATTTTTATATGTTATTTTTTGTAATTCAGATTATATAATAATGAGTCATGATGCAATGAATACATTTTTGTATTTCATGTAAATTTGTTACTGTATTCCTGGCCGTATTTGAAACTGAAGGCCTACACATTTAATGCAATACATATGAGTTGAATGTTAACATGCACTAAAGTACGGACGGATTAGTGAGGGCTTCCTATTTTTAGAAAGTTAAACAAAATAAATAAAGAAAGAAAAATAAATTATTGATCACCCCAAAAAAAATTTCACGGGGCATGCCCCAGGACTCCCTGGGCTAGTGTTGTCTCTCGATGGGCGCCCCTTTCGGCCCTCTTTGGACATCTCCGGATCCGCCCCTACTCAAGGACGGTATTTACAGCGAAACAGTAGTAATGGAAGGCACATTAATAAATATTATTCTAAAACTGTTGATAATTTTTTTTAATAGCGCAGTGGCGTAGATACGGGCAGTGCGGCCAGTGCAATGCACTGGGCCAAGGGCTATTATTCATAAATAGACGTAAAAATAATAATTTCAAGTAATTCCAACTTAATGTTTTTGAAGAATAAAACGGCCAGTGGGCCCCTCAGGATTTTAGAGGAGTAATTATTGATTTACTTTGTTGATTTCCAATGTGGTGTATTCAAGGGTGTCCCAGTCGGGCCGGCCCGGCAATTAATCTTATACTGGGCCCTTTTTGCACCTAGCTAAGCCCCTAAAATAGCGCTATATGACGATAATGGAGAATTAATTAATTTCAAAGTCTTGCAATTGGGTCGTGTCGCTTGTGATTGCATTGATAGATGCCGATTGAGCTAATAGAGCAGCTTAGCTCATTTGGCTAAACTGGTAGCAGCCATGAGCTGAACAGTGGTACCCCTTGGTCCTCGGTTCAAGAGGGCGGGGGAAATTTCCCCCAGATAAAACTAAAGTGGCGCAGTGCAAAACTAAAGTGGCGCAGTGTAAAACTAAAGTTGCACAATGCAAAACTGAAGTGGCGCAGTGCAAAACTGAAGTGGAGCAGTGCAAAACTAAGGTGACAAAGTGTAAAACTGTAGTGGCGCAGTGCAAAAACTAAGGTGATAAAGTGCAAACCTAATGTGGCGCAGTGCAAAACTAAAGTGGTACAGTGCAAAAACTAAAGTGGCGCAGTGCAAAACTAAGGTGACAAAGTGCAAAACTAAAGTGGCGCAGTGCAAAACTAAAGTGGCACAGTGCAAAAACTAAAGTGGCGCAGTGCAAAACTAAGGTGACAAAGTGCAAAATTAAAGTGGCGCAGTGCAAAACAAAGTGGCACAGTGCAAAAACTAAAGTGACGCAGTGCAAACTCAACCACTGAACTTTTCCACCGCACCACTTTGTCCTTCTGGCGTTCCATACATGTGCAAGTTAAAAAACGTTCAGTACACTCTTCGGTAAAGGGTAGGGGATGTCTCCCGGTGTAGGCCTACTGCTCAATCACCACCAGAAGGACCCATTGGAAATAAGTCTTCTTACGACTTTCGTGTGTTAGCCTATCCTTGGTGTTTACACCAATTTACACCGATTAAATCTATCCAATAAACCAACTTTAGCGCTGTGATCTAGTATAATTGTCCTCACCTACATTTCCATCGACAAACGACCCCAAATCCAATACATACTTATTCACCTCCGAGCCAATTCTAAAATAAGAATACACTGCAAATCCTTCTGCATCTCCGATATCAATACGTAGTTCATATGTAGCAGATGACGTCATTTTATAGATAAACTCATTTCCCAACCAGAACTCGCCACACATATCACCGAAACCAAATTTATAACTTTTCCAATCAAGATAAAAATCAACCGAACCGTCACGTCGATTTTGAAAAACCTGAAAAATACGTTTTTTGTTCAAATTGCAATGATTAAATAAAACGTTACAGAACACATACTCTAGTACAATAGCTAGATAAATTCTGTGTGTACTTTGAAGTGCAGAGGATAGAGTAACTGTAATCCATGGCTTTAAAAACTCGGCCCACATATCTGTGTATGTACATGAAGATATTAATAGTATATAGTTTATGTCTAGAAAGATTTATACTATTTAGTGTACAAAAAAACACGAAATATCATGTTTTGTGTGTAGTTGTAAATTGTAAAAAATAAATGTGGCTTTGCCAGAAGGAACAGCAATATAAAACAACAGCAGCAGCAACGGCAGTAATAATAATAATGATAACAAAAATATTATATAGAGCACTGTAGTTATTTATTAATGTTTATCTATTTGTGTTTACCGTGCTACGCAGCAAACTTGATTTTAATATTATTCACTATGACTTCCCAGCTAAGACCTACAAGCTTTTCTAGCTCCACTATGTGCCAGCGTTTCAGTCAGATGTATGAAAAAAACTGCCTGAGAGTTAATTCTGTAAGTAAATAGGTCTCCGTGGTCTAATAGGTATGATATGGTTCGAATCCCACCAGAAACACCCTTTTTTCAAACAACAGATATAAACATAGTATTCTTTATACGATCATTACACCATGTTTCTATTCGAGCACTGTTATTATTACCTATATTTCTTCATATATATATATATATATATATATATATAATAATGATAATAATATTATATAATAATAAAAGATAAAACCTGTAATAATAAAATAATTATAATAATAACTTTATTTTATTTATTCATTTTTTATTTATTTTTTATTTATTTTTTTTATTATTTTTTTTTTTATGAAGTGGACCTATTAGTATTACATTGTTACTCCATTATTTGTTACTTTCAAGGTATAAAATAATAAGCAATACCGTAACAAATTACTGATAGTCCATACAAACTATGAGATGAAAATGACGTTGTGCAGCATGTTTTTTTTTTAAATTTTATTTAAAAAAAAAGAAAATTAAAAAAGAAAATTCATAATAACTCAACGATGATGAAAAAGTAATATATTTTTATACAAAAATGAAAAAGGGAGGAAAAAAAATTAAGGTATATACTGGTCAAATAAAATCTATATTAATAATGGTTACAATTGGTCAATGCCTAAACTTTGAAATCATGTTAATATTATAGAATTATGCTTAAATTTATTTTATAAATTTTCATTTAACTCATCGATCGACTTAATTTGCATATTTTATTGTTTATATAAGAATCAAGAGAAGTTTAAAAACTAAGAAAATCAAGAAAAAAGGTGAAATATAAAAAATGCTGTAATGCAAACAACTTGATGTATTGATGAATTAAAGTGGTGGTTGTTGTACCACAAAAGAGAAAAAAAAATAAAATAAAATAATTATAAAGATAAATTTCCTACCGTCCATCCACCTTCGTCGGTATCCATATCACAATAAACTTCCCTCTTTTCACAATATGCACATGGCTTAATCATATAAACGCCACTCTGAGCTTGATACATCAGCAGCTTGATGTCAGTGCAGTCTCTGTACTGTAAGAATAATGAAATGCAATGTTGAAATTAAAAACTGTTTCTTAGAGGCAATGAAATGCACTTTTTGATTTTCTAATTTCTATTAACGGTAGATAGAGAAAAATAACCCTCTTGTCTACCAAATGATCCTAATGGGTCATTAGAGTTCGCGGTGGTTCTGAGGTTTAGTGGCAGACTTTTGACTAGATTTGTTTGAGGGACTATGAAGAACATTTGTAGAGTGCTGGGGTGAGCCGAAAAACTGGCAAAGTTAGCGGTTCTGGCGTTGTTGAAGACTAAGTTTATTGTATTACATAATAAGAATTTAAATAACAAAAACATAGGCTTATTTCTTAATACGCATAAAGCTTGTTTCATAAATTTTCTACACGCTATAGCCGACATCTTTTGGCGACGACGAAGATTGGTCGGTCGAGTCGGGGCGTCTTACCGATCTCGTCAACTACGCAGTATAAAAATCGCCTTCAAAACGTAACTACAGTGTAGCGGTTTTATAAAAACCAGACTTTATTTACCAGTCATTAAAGATCTAAACACTAATGGAACGTGTATTTAGATCCCTAGGAAGCCCTTCATAATATTGAAGCTAGTAATCAGCGCATTGGTTTCCAAACCTACAGGCATTCTTCACTTATTTTCCTGGGCGGAGAGAGACAGGGACGTAGCCAGGATTTTGAAAGGGTGGGGGGGGGGCCGTTATGCGAATTACATATGACCCCGGCGGGGTGGGCGGGCGAATCCCCCTGTGAAGTAGCGCACTCCGAACGTTCTTAGGACTGTTTGAGAGGATAAAGTGAAAATTGCAATAGACGCATTGTAAATAAGCGCAAAAATAATTATATAATAAATCAACAGTGGCAGATCCAGGAATTCGAAAGAGAAGTGAACCAGGGAGAGACTTTCACAGACCGAGGAACCACCCACCTCAGCCCCACCATGGTTGGGGCTGAGGCAAGAAAATTTAGGGCATCTCTAGATGGCCGGAAATTACACTCTCGCACTGCAATTTGAATATATTTTTGTTTTCCTTAAAAAAAATGAAGGGATGGGGGGGGGGCTTGAATCCACCTCTGCTCAAAACATTCTTTATCCAGAATAGTCATAATCACGAAAAATGTACATGAAAAACCAGATCACATCCTAAAAACAAACAGTAGTCACTAAGACATACGTCAGGATCCGACGACTCGATGGAGTTTAATGTCATACCTAGGGAAGGGCACAGATCTGTTTTGAAAGGTGGAGGGCAGTTTGTGAGTCGACACCCACCTCAGCCCCACAATGGTTGGAGCTGAGGTGAGAAAATTTGAGGAAATAGTACCTCTAGATGGCCAGAAATGACACTTTTAGTAAAATTCATCATCATCACATCACCATTAGTCAAAATGAAGCGCCAACAAAAATCCTCATGATCTTTTATAATGGATTTTTGACAATCATAGAGATCTTATTAATGTGTGTGTATACCATAGAAAACAAAGCTTAAAAGCATTGTGAGAAAATTTGAGGAAATAGTACCTCTCGAGATGGCCGGAAATGACACTTTTATATAGTAAAATTCATCATCATCACATTACCATTATAGTCAAAATGAAACGCCAACAAATTTCTCATGATCTTTTATCAGGGATCTACTTAATATCCTTAACTTAGGCCTAATTATAGCTTACTAAGCTTTAATTATATATACTATATTATGATCAACAAATCACAACTTTTTAACGCACAATTTTAGCACAATTTTCTTCACTTTTTTATTGTTATTAATATTAATATCAATTATTACTATCGTCATCATCATCATTGTTATTATTATTATTAATATTAGTAGTAGTATTATTAAACAAACATTTAAAGAAACTTGCAAAAGGATAAAAACGAAATTGAACCACAGTATCGCATTTATATCTTAAAAGACCTGGCCTGAGATTTATGGATTTAAGATTTTTTTTAAATCACGCTTAGGCCTATGTGTTCTATTAGGCCTATGTATAACGTGTACTGATGCATATTTACATGTGTACAAAGGGGGGGGGAGCCGCGGCTCCCACGGCTCCCCCCCCCCCTGGATACGTCCCTGGAGAGAGAGACAACTTTGCTTTGCTCAAGTACACGAGCGAAATTCACTGCGAGAGCTCGCGAACCGCCTGCCTTAGGTTGAGACACCGAATGACAATTCCCAGTATAAATGCAATATTCGGAGCTGTACACATTCATTTATATATTTACCTCCGCCAAACGAGGTTATGTAGGCTATTCACCGCTGCGTGTCTGTCTACGTTTTACGTTTACGTAGGTAGGACCTAATGGTCCGTAAGCGGAGGGCTGTATGGACCAGTACACCGGGTAACCCCCTACTCGTTTCGAAAGATGTTCTGGGTTCTTTAAAGTGCACATGAGCCAATCGTGTACACTGGGCCTTGTGTAGCCCTTATCCGAGAAGACTTGTTCCACCACCATAACACAGGGGAGCGTACCGTTCGAACCAGCGCCGATATCGTGATTGTAGGTTGCGGTGTCCCTGCATAACCGGTCGGCCATTCGACTCGACCGTTCGTATGTTAAGAAGATTACGAAAACCTAATGAATGGATCATAAAATTTAGTGGGATGGTAGGCCTACATAATATTTGAAGACAGATTATTAAATTTTTGGAAGAAAGGTTCCTGGGTTCAACTCCTGTGACAACAGGACTTTTTCTCATGCCTAAGATCAACTTCACTCCCTAAGCCTCATAAAGAGACTTAGTTTATAAGGTATCACTCTCATCCTGTAAGTGGCGAGTATACTTGCTGTTGGATGTGAAGTAAATTAAAAAAAAAAAAAAAAAGGACAAGGCAAATGTGATGGAAATTCCATTTTTTCCCCGAGTATAGAAGAAAATAATAGAATGACCCATCATTCTGGCGAACGGTCTTTCTCTTTTGCCGCTCCGAAATTATGGAACTTTTTTCCACCTAATCTTAGATCAACTTCTGATAATAATGCATTCAAGGCCCTCCTTAAAACCTATCTCTTTAATTAATAACTCTTTTATCTTTAAGCGCAAGTGACAAAAACATTTTTTTAACAGGCGCTATACAAATTCTCAAATTTATTATTATTATCGTATCGGCCTGCGTATTGTTTGGTATGTTCAGGCACTGACCGATGCACTTCAAGAAGTGAATTCTCTAGTTTTCTGTGTATTTTAGCTAAAAGCAAAATATATTAGATATCTTACATGTGTAAAACTAAATCCAAGCATCTGTGGGAAATATTCTTCTTGATGAGTTTGGTTTAGGCCTACATCCGCTTTGTAAATTCTACATTCGTGGGTCCTTGCATCATAAACCACTTGGTCACACACTGGCCCAACATGTTGACAAAACTTAATGCAGGCTACCTCGTTCTTCACATAATACCAATCCCAAGACGATGATATGGGCTTACCTGCTGTTAAATAATATGCCTGCAAATACCGCAGACATAGAGGAACTATGAGCGAGAGAGAATTAAAGTAAAATAAAGATATCGGTTAAATTTTTTTCTTTCTTTCTTTTTTTTTAGTATAAAAATCCAAAATTTAATTAAAAAATACAAAACAGATCATAGTATTAGTAGTACATTAAATCGTTCTAATAGCTTTAGTAGTAACAAATTTATCTTGTTATTCTGAATAATCTGTTGATTTTATTTAAACAGGCAAAACAGAAAACTTCACACATTTTAACTAGTCTGATATACACTGAACATTGTAGCACTTTAAAATAATATGCTCTTATTCAGGCGAGAGTGAAGAAGTGAAGCAAGTTTCATGTATCTAATACTGGTGCAAAATTGTACAATTGTTACTTATAACCTTAGTTGCATTTGTAATTAACTGAAAAATCGATTGGCCGACAAATCGTTTGGTTTTTTCCCCTTTTCAGGATAATCATGACCAACAGCAATATCGATCCTGGTTCTCAATTTTACTAATAGCTTTACATAACATCACCGGATATTGTTATTATTACTTTAATTTTCTATCAGTCCTTCCTGTAATATCAAAAATTACGAAAAAGCCGCGCATGATCAACTTTACACATATTTAAATGAAAATTAATTACTTTATGTCACTCAATCAGGCTTTAGGCCGTCATACTCAACGTCCACTGCACCCATCAATGCCACTGAACAATGGTACAGTTGCATTGATGAAGGTAAGATGGTAGGATTATGCCTTTTAGATTTCAAAAAAGCATTCGACACAGTGAATCATAATATTCTTTTACAAAAATTAAAATTGTACGGCATTGGCAAATTCGCAATAAATTGGCTTAAAAGCTATTTATCTGAACGAACTCAAATTACTGAAATTAACAATAAAAAATCGAAACCTAACATTATAAAATGTGGTGTACCACAAGGATAAATTATTGGCCCCCTTGCGTTTCTCATTTATAGAAACGACCTTACCAATAAAATAAATAAATGCGAAATTAGCATGTATGCAGATGATACTATAATATATAAAGCAGCGAAAAATGAAAATGAAATAATTGAAACAATAAACCAAGATCTTGAACATATATTTTGTTGGTTAAATTCGAACAAATTAAGTTTAAACATATCAAAATCACAGTTCATGATACTTGGCTCAAGGCAAAGGCTTACAAGTAACAGTAATACAAGTTCAACAGTTCAGATAAATGGCGATCCCGTTCTAAGAGTACAGAGTGCAAAGCACCTAGGAGTAATAATTGATGAAAATCTTACATGGGACTGTTATGTTAATCATATTAGAGAAAAGGCCCTAAAAGGCCTATATATGTTAAGACGATGCTGTAATATGTTCCCAAGAAATGTACTAATCAATATTTCTAATTCATTAATAATTTCTCACTTAACATACTGTATTTTGGTTTGGGGAAATTGCGGAAATACCTTGATGAAAAAGTTACAAACAATTCAAAACAGGGTAGCTCGGATTGCATGTAACCTAAATTGGGATGAATCCAGTCAACTAGCATTAAACTCAGCAAATTGGATATCATTAACTAAAAGAAATGAACTGGAACACTTACTTCTTGTATTCAATATTCTAAAAGATCGCGTACCACTTTATTTATCACATTTAATACAGTACAACACACCTAATTATAATTTTCGACATGGTAACCTTAATATGTACGTTCCAAAACCGAATACTGAATACAAAAGAAACAGCATATCTTACAAGGGCCCTGTTTTGTGGAATAATTTAAACAGAGATGAAATAAATCCCTCTATGTCATTTAATCAATTCAAAAGAAGAGTCAAAGAAAAGCTAACTAATACTAGGCCTTAATTAATGTCTAGTCTCATGCAATCATTATAATAATGCAATTTACTACTATTCAATTCTAACATGCGTTTTTTTTTTTGTTTTTTTTTTTTTCAATTTTTAAGACAACAAACTTTTAAACTTTAACCCTAATTAATTTAGGCAAAACTTTTAACTTTATGCTTGCTTTTATATTATTCTTATCGCGCTCGAACTTGTTGAAAAACGATCTGTTTATAATATTTTATTGATCGAACAAGTCTTTTGTAATGTTTTATTGTGCTTTATATAATTGTATATATATATATATGTTACTGTACTTGCAATTTCGAGAATAAATAAAGTTTTTGATTGATTGATTGATTGATCGAAACGAGTTTTTATAGCTACAAATATTGGGAACTTAGTTCTTTTTTTTTTCTTTTTTAATTTGTATTTAAGTTTATTATACGGTTGACGAGTGGCCAGTTCACCTCTGGAGGGACTGCTAGGCGTTCTTAACTTGTAATTTGGTTCGTATCGGGTATTTTAATTGCAACCAATTACCTTTCTGTCATTGCATTTCTATTTTTTAAACGACGAACCACTCGTTGAGTTGAGTGCCACGACCGATGATGATTTTCAGTAAAGTAGTAGTATGGTAGCTATTTAGGTAACAGTGATAGTAAAACCTTTCACAAGTATATAAATTATCTTTGCTTGTTATTGTATTTTTTCGTGTTTTAAAGGTATAAAGTTATTTAACTTTAAAAGCATATTTCTATTATGCATTATCTTTTTTTTAATATCTTGGAAGAATTTCATTTGGCTTCAGGAATTGTATAGAAGACATATTGTTTGTTTTTGTAAAGCTAAAATGGAAACGGAGTGCTTACTCAGAACGTTTTTAATAATTATACAGGTCTAGGTATGTTGACGTTTTACAGTTATTGACTGTTGCTATTAAATAGATAATATTCATTAACCACGCAGCTTAACTCTTTACAAGCCTACCTCCGGACACTATTTAATAGAAATGAACTAACTGAAACTGAATACAAAGAAATTCATCCAGTATCCACCATGCCTGCTAGAGCCCATGGACTACTTAAATTACATAAAGATTTTGATAATATTCCACCCCTAAGACCTATTATTGACACGACCGGTACTTGTTATTATTCTAGCTAAGTTCTTATCAAACTTATTAGGCCCTCTAACGGTTAATGATTTTGTCCTTAAAGATTCTGTTGATGCTGCTAACTGCATTAAAGCTATACCAAACAATTTATATAATTTAGGTTACCGATTTGTATCTGTTGTCATTGATGTTGAATCTCTGTTTACAAATGTTCCCCTTACTAAGGTAATTAATATAATAGTCCAGTCCGAAATGTAGCAATATCAGAGGTTGCATTTTGTTTTTGCTATATTTTTTAAAAATTGGATATGATGTAGAGTAGACATAGATAAATCAAAAAAGTATGTGCAACATTGCAGTTGTTAAGCTTATCAGATGTACCTGTTCAATAAGTATGTTCAAATAATACATGCAGGTGTAGGAGAAATGATCTTCAGTGTACTGAGATGTGTAACTGCGAAGCGGAAGAGAGTTCTTAATGGATTCTATTAACAAAAGTGTATAATTTTTTTAATTTGCATGTAAAATCATAATTTTGGAATACTGTAATACTATAATAATAATTGAGATAAAATTTAATTTTAAATTATTGTAAAAAAATATATTTGAATTTACTTTAAAAGCCTACTTCAAAACACATTATTAACGCAATTCTTCAGTAGCCAATACGTGCGTATTAAGTTGCTGACCCCGCCCACCGAGATGAGTTCGCGGTATCATTGAATTAAACCCATAGCACTGGCCGCTGAACAAAATTAGTTATCGTATTGTTACGAAATTTTCATTGTTGTCGAGTGTTTCTGATTCATCAGACAGTGACAGTGATGAAGAAAGTGATAATGAACATTAGCATATTATAAAATCACTGATGTAGGTAAATATAAGTAAATTCCATTATGTAATATGGGTACATAATACTAACACACACACACCCACGCATTATATATAAATATGTATATATATGTATATGTATATATAATATATATATGTATATGTATATGTATGTATATAATATATATATGTATATATATATGTATGTATATAATACATATATG